CTTGATGGCACTCACTGCTGTTGAACTGTCTTAGCTTCACATACATGGATTTTTCCAACTGTGAGAGGGGAAGCACCAGAGGCACGGGAGGGTCATGCTGCTGCAGTTATTGGCAAACGACTATTTGTATTTGGTGGTTGTGGGAGATCTGCAAATAATACTAATGATGTGTACTACAATGACCTTTACATATTAAATACAGGTGACTTTTCTTTATCACACACTACCATTTGTTTATCTAACTAATTCACTTTTCAATTTTTACCCTTCACATTCATGAGACCTCACACAATATCATAGGTTCATACAGTGTGACAAAATTGTTAAAGATTTCTTATCTTAATTATTATATTCTAACACATGGTGGAACTTGGAATAGTCACACTTTTTGTCTTGCTTCTAGAGGTTCATAATAATTTTAGTTGTGAATGAAATGCAACGAAGGTTGCACTATTTAGTTGATCTAATATTTACTCTGTTTAATAATTCCATTTGCATTAGTACTTTGCAGTTTTTTTTTTTATTATGGATAAGATGAGAAATATACTTATGATTTCTTTTCATCTATTCACCTGTAGAAACATATACATGGCAGCGTGCTACAACATCAGGCACTCCACCATCTCCTCGAGATAGCCACACTTGTTCATCTTGGAAAAACAAAATTATTGTGATCGGTGGTGAAGATGAACAAGATTATTATCTGTCTGATGTTCATGTTCTAGATACTGGTATGTATCCTTTTATGTAACTGTTATACTTTTGGTACACTTATTGAATATTTGTGCAAGAAAGGGGGTATTTATCGGAGTATAATTTACTAGCATTTTCTGTAAATGCAGATACTCTTATCTGGAGCAAAATGTGTACCTCTAGCCAATCATTGCCACCTCGAGCTGGTCATTGTACAGTTTCTTTGGGCAACAGTTTGTTTGTTTTTGGGGGCTTTACAGAAGCTCAATGCCTATACAATGACCTGTATATGCTTGACATTGGTATGTCTAATACAGATGCTTGTTTATAAGTCTGATAAACACTTAAACAGGAGCTCAAATTTTTTCACTGTACTAGTTTGTAGTAAATATTTATTGTTTGTTCATGTGTTAAAGTTGTGCCCTTATTTTTCATTCCTTATTGGAAACAGAGACTTTTGTGTGGACGAAGGTGGAAACTACACCTAGTGGTCCTTCTGCTAGATTTTCTGTAGCTGGTGACTGTTTAGATCCACATATGGGGGGTGCTCTTGTGTTTTTGGGAGGTTGTAATAGAAATCTGGAGGCCCTGGATGATATGTATTACCTATACACAGGTTGAGCAAAGAGTAAATTTTTTCCTTTTAAATATACTGAGGAACATTTTGATTATAGAATTTCTGCAAATTAAGAAGTTTGTGACAGAAATGTGTTTCTAATATATTTCTGGCTTTTTAGGTATTGCACAGGAAAGAGAACTCAGACCAGAGAAGTTATCCTTAAGGAAGCAATTGAAGCTGAAATGTCAAGAGCAAAATCTCAATCTTGTCCAAAACCCAGTTCTGTGTGGATATGGAGTGGATGCTGGCAGTAATCATCCTATGTCAATCTTAAACTATAGCCAACAAAGTGAGAACCTGCTTATATATGAACTTCCTGAGGAATATAACAAAATATTTTGTTTTTCCTTGAAGTGATATGTGTTTCCTGTCATTCTTTGTATTGGATTTTGGAAGTCCCTCCTGTGTATATCACAGCTTATATTACATGCTTTCTTGTAATGTATTTATTTGGTCTTTTGCCATATTTTTAGTTGATAATGATAAGGTAGTGAGGATTAGTGTTCTTAGCTGCACTCCTAAATAGAGTTAGTTTCTCTGACCAGTTTGTGTGTTTCTTCTGAGACATGCACACTAGTTGTGGCAAGTTGATATTTTGTAAAGTTTTGTAAGTTCTAAAAAAGGAAAATATTCTTTGGTTATGGGCCTTGATTAAAAGAATGAAAAATGGTGTTTGGGTATTCCATTCAAAGTGGGAATCTAAGTATCCAGCATCATGTTTACAGGTAAACTAAATATCCCAGTAAGGCAATCCCTGCCTCCTGGAAAGAGAATGTTTCATGCCAAAGTTACGGAAAAAATCTCAGCAGGATATACTATTGAAACTGTTATTGATGGAAAGCCTCTTCATGGAATTCTGTTTTCAAACAAGCCAAACATTCAAAGTCCAGTTGCTAATACTTCCAATAGGTATGTCCTTCTCTTTACAATTTTTCACCACCCGAATCTCCCTTTTGAAAAATTTGGTTTTAACATAGTGTTTGATTCTCAAAACAGGAAAAGGTCTGCTGGTGAAATTGAAAATGTTGATTTAAATGACATGCTTACACAATCAGACAATGTAACAACTTCTGCAGTGCTCAGGCAAGAGAAAATANATATGTAACCTTGTAAGAAAAATAAGATTGAAGAAAATAATAACAAAATTAAAATTCCAATATCTTCTTTCTACCCTTTCTCTGTTTTCTCTGATCAGATTCTGGAGAACTCACTCTTCAGTCTTTACCCCCTCCTGGTTTGTTTTCTTTAACCCATTTCCACTGTTGCATTATATACATTTTTTTTTTCAATTTTTGTTGTGACAGTGATATCAGTGATACACATTTTATTTATTTATTTATTCTATTTTGCATGAACGAAAATAATCACAAATCCCAAAACCTCTTTCTCTATTCTTTAAACATTCACACACTTTCTCGTGTCTCTCAGGTTTGGGAAGATTAAAATTTGAAGACAAAAAAAGTTTGATTCTTTTTTAGTGGGGTAGTGCGTTTTGTTTTGTTTAACAATTTTTGAAGAGGAGGGGGAAATGAGGTGGGAAAAGGTAAAGGGAACAGGAGGAGAAGGACCAGGGAGGAGGTGGGGCCACACGTGTAACGCTGTTAGAGATGGCAGACTTCTTTATCTCTTCGGTGGTTACGGCAAATTTAACTGTCAGACCAACCAAGTTCACGTATTCGACACTCGTAAGTACCACAATCTTTCTCTATTCTTGTGTCTGTCTTTTTGTTTTTTTAAATCTTGATATGGTTTTTAGTTTTAAGATTGATTTTTCTTCTTAATTTTGATTGCATTGTCATTTTCTGCCTGTTACTGTTCACTAAGCATGGGTAGTTTTTATTTGTTGGGTTCTTTCATCTTTTAATTTTTTATATGGGTCCCTGGTTCTTTTTTTGAATCTTTATATGATCAAATGCTTTCACTATTTTGGGACATCCTATATCTTTTAAGTTGAGTGCATTGTTTTTTATTCCGAGTTGAGTGCATTGGGTTGTTTGCATTATTTTTGAAGTGTTTCTATTCATTTATTCTGTTATCTGCAGCTATTTTATGGCTGATGTTGGTGATTTGCAGTGAGGCAGAGTTGGAGTGAACCAGCTGTTAAAGGGACCCCACCTACTCCTAGGGACAGCCATAGTTGTTCTGTTGTTGGTGATAGTCTTTTTGTGTTTGGGGGTACAGATGGGACCAGGCTGCTGAATGATTTGCATATTCTAGACATTTGTGAGTCATTATTCTGATATTTTTAATGTGGGAAGGGATTGTTATTGGACTAAGTTTTACACCATAGTTGTGATATAATACATCTGAAAGAGTTTAGGGTGATCTAATTATGTACACCCTGTAGTGTACAGTAATTGTTTAACTTGATGGCACTCACTGCTGTTGAACTGTCTTAGCTTCACATACATGGATTTTTCCAACTGTGAGAGGGGAAGCACCAGAGGCACGGGAGGGTCATGCTGCTGCAGTTATTGGCAAACGACTATTTGTATTTGGTGGTTGTGGGAGATCTGCAAATAATACTAATGATGTGTACTACAATGACCTTTACATATTAAATACAGGTGACTTTTCTTTATCACACACTACCATTTGTTTATCTAACTAATTCACTTTTCAATTTTTACCCTTCACATTCATGAGACCTCACACAATATCATAGGTTCATACAGTGTGACAAAATTGTTAAAGATTTCTTATCTTAATTATTATATTCTAACACATGGTGGAACTTGGAATAGTCACACTTTTTGTCTTGCTTCTAGAGGTTCATAATAATTTTAGTTGTGAATGAAATGCAACGAAGGTTGCACTATTTAGTTGATCTAATATTTACTCTGTTTAATAATTCCATTTGCATTAGTACTTTGCAGTTTTTTTTTTTATTATGGATAAGATGAGAAATATACTTATGATTTCTTTTCATCTATTCACCTGTAGAAACATATACATGGCAGCGTGCTACAACATCAGGCACTCCACCATCTCCTCGAGATAGCCACACTTGTTCATCTTGGAAAAACAAAATTATTGTGATCGGTGGTGAAGATGAACAAGATTATTATCTGTCTGATGTTCATGTTCTAGATACTGGTATGTATCCTTTTATGTAACTGTTATACTTTTGGTACACTTATTGAATATTTGTGCAAGAAAGGGGGTATTTATCGGAGTATAATTTACTAGCATTTTCTGTAAATGCAGATACTCTTATCTGGAGCAAAATGTGTACCTCTAGCCAATCATTGCCACCTCGAGCTGGTCATTGTACAGTTTCTTTGGGCAACAGTTTGTTTGTTTTTGGGGGCTTTACAGAAGCTCAATGCCTATACAATGACCTGTATATGCTTGACATTGGTATGTCTAATACAGATGCTTGTTTATAAGTCTGATAAACACTTAAACAGGAGCTCAAATTTTTTCACTGTACTAGTTTGTAGTAAATATTTATTGTTTGTTCATGTGTTAAAGTTGTGCCCTTATTTTTCATTCCTTATTGGAAACAGAGACTTTTGTGTGGACGAAGGTGGAAACTACACCTAGTGGTCCTTCTGCTAGATTTTCTGTAGCTGGTGACTGTTTAGATCCACATATGGGGGGTGCTCTTGTGTTTTTGGGAGGTTGTAATAGAAATCTGGAGGCCCTGGATGATATGTATTACCTATACACAGGTTGAGCAAAGAGTAAATTTTTTCCTTTTAAATATACTGAGGAACATTTTGATTATAGAATTTCTGCAAATTAAGAAGTTTGTGACAGAAATGTGTTTCTAATATATTTCTGGCTTTTTAGGTATTGCACAGGAAANATTCGGTTACTTTTTAAATTAACTTAATTCTTTATAATAAAAAGAGGCCCACACATGTACGTATATTTCTCCTAGTTATTATTATTATTATAATATAGAAGCAGTCCTATATATTTATTATCTAAAGAAAAAATTCAATTAAGTCATTTATTATATATAGGGAATACAATGAATAACTGGACAGTCAAAAATAACTATTGAGGTACTATCCAATATGTTAAAATTACAACTATATTTACAAAAATTTTAAGCCTTAATAAATGCAATCTTATAATAATAAATTAAATCAATCAATACAAACTGTGTAACGTTCAAATCAAAGCACTACATGACAAAATTATAGAAAAGAAAAATCATTTACACTTAGAATATAGTTTTTCTATTACAGGAAGTATAATTTACAAATTAACAAATATGTAACCTTGTAAGAAAAATAAGATTGAAGAAAATAATAACAAAATTAAAATTCCAATATCTTCTTTCTACCCTTTCTCTGTTTTCTCTGATCAGATTCTGGAGAACTCACTCTTCAGTCTTTACCCCCTCCTGGTTTGTTTTCTTTAACCCATTTCCACTGTTGCATTATATACATTTTTTTTTTCAATTTTTGTTGTGACAGTGATATCAGTGATACACATTTTATTTATTTATTTATTCTATTTTGCATGAACGAAAATAATCACAAATCCCAAAACCTCTTTCTCTATTCTTTAAACATTCACACACTTTCTCGTGTCTCTCAGGTTTGGGAAGATTAAAATTTGAAGACAAAAAAAGTTTGATTCTTTTTTAGTGGGGTAGTGCGTTTTGTTTTGTTTAACAATTTTTGAAGAGGAGGGGGAAATGAGGTGGGAAAAGGTAAAGGGAACAGGAGGAGAAGGACCAGGGAGGAGGTGGGGCCACACGTGTAACGCTGTTAGAGATGGCAGACTTCTTTATCTCTTCGGTGGTTACGGCAAATTTAACTGTCAGACCAACCAAGTTCACGTATTCGACACTCGTAAGTACCACAATCTTTCTCTATTCTTGTGTCTGTCTTTTTGTTTTTTTAAATCTTGATATGGTTTTTAGTTTTAAGATTGATTTTTCTTCTTAATTTTGATTGCATTGTCATTTTCTGCCTGTTACTGTTCACTAAGCATGGGTAGTTTTTATTTGTTGGGTTCTTTCATCTTTTAATTTTTTATATGGGTCCCTGGTTCTTTTTTTGAATCTTTATATGATCAAATGCTTTCACTATTTTGGGACATCCTATATCTTTTAAGTTGAGTGCATTGTTTTTTATTCCGAGTTGAGTGCATTGGGTTGTTTGCATTATTTTTGAAGTGTTTCTATTCATTTATTCTGTTATCTGCAGCTATTTTATGGCTGATGTTGGTGATTTGCAGTGAGGCAGAGTTGGAGTGAACCAGCTGTTAAAGGGACCCCACCTACTCCTAGGGACAGCCATAGTTGTTCTGTTGTTGGTGATAGTCTTTTTGTGTTTGGGGGTACAGATGGGACCAGGCTGCTGAATGATTTGCATATTCTAGACATTTGTGAGTCATTATTCTGATATTTTTAATGTGGGAAGGGAATGTTATTGGACTAAGTTTTACACCATAGTTGTGATATAATACATCTGAAAGAGTTTAGGGTGATCTAATTATGTACACCCTGTAGTGTACAGTAATTGTTTAACTTGATGGCACTCACTGCTGTTGAACTGTCTTAGCTTCACATACATGGATTTTTCCAACTGTGAGAGGGGAAGCACCAGAGGCACGGGAGGGTCATGCTGCTGCAGTTATTGGCAAACGACTATTTGTATTTGGTGGTTGTGGGAGATCTGCAAATAATACTAATGATGTGTACTACAATGACCTTTACATATTAAATACAGGTGACTTTTCTTTATCACACACTACCATTTGTTTATCTAACTAATTCACTTTTCAATTTTTACCCTTCACATTCATGAGACCTCACACAATATCATAGGTTCATACAGTGTGACAAAATTGTTAAAGATTTCTTATCTTAATTATTATATTCTAACACATGGTGGAACTTGGAATAGTCACACTTTTTGTCTTGCTTCTAGAGGTTCATAATAATTTTAGTTGTGAATGAAATGCAACGAAGGTTGCACTATTTAGTTGATCTAATATTTACTCTGTTTAATAATTCCATTTGCATTAGTACTTTGCAGTTTTTTTTTTTATTATGGATAAGATGAGAAATATACTTATGATTTCTTTTCATCTATTCACCTGTAGAAACATATACATGGCAGCGTGCTACAACATCAGGCACTCCACCATCTCCTCGAGATAGCCACACTTGTTCATCTTGGAAAAACAAAATTATTGTGATCGGTGGTGAAGATGAACAAGATTATTATCTGTCTGATGTTCATGTTCTAGATACTGGTATGTATCCTTTTATGTAACTGTTATACTTTTGGTACACTTATTGAATATTTGTGCAAGAAAGGGGGTATTTATCGGAGTATAATTTACTAGCATTTTCTGTAAATGCAGATACTCTTATCTGGAGCAAAATGTGTACCTCTAGCCAATCATTGCCACCTCGAGCTGGTCATTGTACAGTTTCTTTGGGCAACAGTTTGTTTGTTTTTGGGGGCTTTACAGAAGCTCAATGCCTATACAATGACCTGTATATGCTTGACATTGGTATGTCTAATACAGATGCTTGTTTATAAGTCTGATAAACACTTAAACAGGAGCTCAAATTTTTTCACTGTACTAGTTTGTAGTAAATATTTATTGTTTGTTCATGTGTTAAAGTTGTGCCCTTATTTTTCATTCCTGATTGGAAACAGAGACTTTTGTGTGGACGAAGGTGGAAACTACACCTAGTGGTCCTTCTGCTAGATTTTCTGTAGCTGGTGACTGTTTAGATCCACATATGGGGGGTGCTCTTGTGTTTTTGGGAGGTTGTAATAGAAATCTGGAGGCCCTGGATGATATGTATTACCTATACACAGGTTGAGCAAAGAGTAAATTTTTTCCTATTAAATATACTGAGGAACATTTTGATTATAGAATTTCTGCAAATTAAGAAGTTTGTGACAGAAATGTGTTTCTAATATATTTCTGGCTTTTTAGGTATTGCACAGGAAAGAGAACTCAGACCAGAGAAGTTATCCTTAAGGAAGCAATTGAAGCTGAAATGTCAAGAGCAAAATCTCAATCTTGTCCAAAACCCAGTTCTGTGTGGATATGGAGTGGATGCTGGCAGTAATCATCCTATGTCAATCTTAAACTATAGCCAACAAAGTGAGAACCTGCTTATATATGAACTTCCTGAGGAATATAACAAAATATTTTGTTTTTCCTTGAAGTGATATGTGTTTCCTGTCATTCTTTGTATTGGATTTTGGAAGTCCCTCCTGTGTATATCACAGCTTATATTACATGCTTTCTTGTAATGTATTTATTTGGTCTTTTGCCATATTTTTAGTTGATAATGATAAGGTAGTGAGGATTAGTGTTCTTAGCTGCACTCCTAAATAGAGTTAGTTTCTCTGACCAGTTTGTGTGTTTCTTCTGAGACATGCACACTAGTTGTGGCAAGTTGATATTTTGTAAAGTTTTGTAAGTTCTAAAAAAGGAAAATATTCTTTGGTTATGGGCCTTGATTAAAAGAATGAAAAATGGTGTTTGGGTATTCCATTCAAAGTGGGAATCTAAGTATCCAGCATCATGTTTACAGGTAAACTAAATATCCCAGTAAGGCAATCCCTGCCTCCTGGAAAGAGAATGTTTCATGCCAAAGTTACGGAAAAAATCTCAGCAGGATATACTATTGAAACTGTTATTGATGGAAAGCCTCTTCATGGAATTCTGTTTTCAAACAAGCCAAACATTCAAAGTCCAGTTGCTAATACTTCCAATAGGTATGTCCTTCTCTTTACAATTTTTCACCACCCGAATCTCCCTTTTGAAAAATTTGGTTTTAACATAGTGTTTGATTCTCAAAACAGGAAAAGGTCTGCTGGTGAAATTGAAAATGTTGATTTAAATGACATGCTTACACAATCAGACAATGTAACAACTTCTGCAGTGCTCAGGCAAGAGAAAATACAAAATCAACCGGAAGTACGGGGAGAGAGTTCAGAATTTCTTGAACGCCATAAAGAAGCAGATACTATTGTTGCGTCAAGTACCCGAACAACAGCTGCGGACTCCTTAAAGGTCAAGTATTTTTTTTTTTACTTCTGTTGAATAAAATTCTATGTGGGCCAGATTATTGGCTCTAAAATTTTATTTAGAGGCCCCAGGGAATAATTAAAAATTTAAAATTGACAGTATAGGTTTTGTTATTGGAAGGATGTTAACTATAAATGTGACCTTATACACAGTTATAGATTCTGTTTGCGAGGTGAACTTTATGAGAGTACGAGTTTTTTTAGTGGCTGAATAAAATTTTCATGTGTACAGTGCTTGTTTGCCATAGGTGTTTTACCTGTAGGCACTATGGCCATAGATTCATGGGACTTGCACATCCGTATGCATGCAAGAAAAGCTATGGATTGCCACTAAATATTAACATTTTCTGTTTCCTATGTGTTATGGATTGAATCCTTTTCTGTAACCTTAGCTGAGATATAGTTGGTCATGATCTAGTTTATTTAATACCTTGGTGGGATGTCTGTTCCAACACTAGTGTTTTTTCCTTTTCTACTGTATGTTAAATTTTGTTCAATTCTAGATAGTGATCTTCCAAGATAAACATTCTTAGATTTTCCACACAAGGGAGACCATTTCCTTGGCTCTAGTGGTGTATGTGAATGAAAATTCACCTGCCAGTTAATGCGCATGAATCTAATAAAGATCATCCCTGGGAATGTAACGTGAGTCTTTGGTGAGGTTTCTTTCTTACCTGCACATCCATGAATATCCTGCAGGATTCTGTCAACCCAGAACCTGAAGCTGTTTCTTTGAATCTAAATGATGAGAAAAATGACTCATCAAAACCCTTAATTGAGAGCTTGAAAAACGATGGATCCAATGATGAGACAAGTTCCAAAGGTGAAATGCAAATTGGAGATGAAATAAATGTGCCAGTTTCCAATTGTGAAATTTCAGGACAAACGAGTGATGCACCAAACTCTAATGCTGATGTCCTGAAACCTGCAGCAGCTGAGAGTTCTGTTTCTCCACCAAATCAAGGTATGGAACTATTGAGAGAAGTTAGTGAAGATTCTTTGGCTTGACCTTTTTTGTCGTTAGCATGTTGGATAAAATAGCATCTCCTTTTCATTTCAGATACATTTTCATGCAAGTTTGAGTTAAAACTGAATTCACTTGTTAAGTTGTTACTCTGCCCCCCACCCACAAAAATGAAAGAAAAAAACCTCTGGAATTTTGTCTTTTGCATTTCTTTGAATGAAATGGCATTTCCTCTCACATATGGCAACATTTTCAAGTGAGTTTGAGTTAAACCTAAATGATTCGATTGGTAAGCTGCTGCTTCTCTCCTCCCACAACAAAAAAGAAAGAAAAAATGAACCTCTGTCCCAATATGCTTTTGGGATAAGAGATTTACTTTTATAAATGGATAGGGGGCTAATCATCATGGCATTTTTGCCTATTAACTACCTCTTATTAAAAGAAGTCATCATTTTTGCACTTGAAAGCAACATCAATGATTAACCTTTTTGTTTTATTTCAAATTTCTGTTTAAACGTAAAGGCAATCATGAAAGTATCAGAGATAATATATATTTGAGCATCAGATAGATGTCTGTGTAATGTTAAATGAACTCTTGTAATGCAGAAAACTTCAAAATCTGGAGTAAATTTTAGTTAAAAACACCCATCCATTTTTCTGAGATCATGTTACTGTCAGAGTATATGTACACAGTTGATTCCAATACAAGTTTTTAATCAAATAATCAGGACTCAATTTTTAATATATTAAATTCTAAGAAATTCTATTAAAAAAATTGTAAGAAATTTAGACAATTTGAAATCTACATGATGCTACTACTACTTATTTTAGGAGCACTTAACTTTGTTACTGATGGTAAGAAATCTCGATTACCTCAATGTTGCAGCACTGTGTTGTTTACTTGTATTGTTTTATAGTCTTGTTTACAGCATACCACATTTAAACACTTGCAATATATAAACTTACCTGACATGACATGGTTTTTGAATTAAGATTTTCAGACAATTAATAGTTATCACTTCATAATAGCAATTGAAAATTTGAAAATTATTGTATGACATATTGTGAGTTTGAGCACAGTTCTTGTTGTATGAATACAGGTGTGACAGATGATTGCACAACTCCAAGGACAGAANCACTATTTTGGGACATCCTATATCTTTTAAGTTGAGTGCATTGTTTTTTATTCCGAGTTGAGTGCATTGGGTTGTTTGCATTATTTTTGAAGTGTTTCTATTCATTTATTCTGTTATCTGCAGCTATTTTATGGCTGATGTTGGTGATTTGCAGTGAGGCAGAGTTGGAGTGAACCAGCTGTTAAAGGGACCCCACCTACTCCTAGGGACAGCCATAGTTGTTCTGTTGTTGGTGATAGTCTTTTTGTGTTTGGGGGTACAGATGGGACCAGGCTGCTGAATGATTTGCATATTCTAGACATTTGTGAGTCATTATTCTGATATTTTTAATGTGGGAAGGGAATGTTATTGGACTAAGTTTTACACCATAGTTGTGATATAATACATCTGAAAGAGTTTAGGGTGATCTAATTATGTACACCCTGTAGTGTACAGTAATTGTTTAACTTGATGGCACTCACTGCTGTTGAACTGTCTTAGCTTCACATACATGGATTTTTCCAACTGTGAGAGGGGAAGCACCAGAGGCACGGGAGGGTCATGCTGCTGCAGTTATTGGCAAACGACTATTTGTATTTGGTGGTTGTGGGAGATCTGCAAATAATACTAATGATGTGTACTACAATGACCTTTACATATTAAATACAGGTGACTTTTCTTTATCACACACTACCATTTGTTTATCTAACTAATTCACTTTTCAATTTTTACCCTTCACATTCATGAGACCTCACACAATATCATAGGTTCATACAGTGTGACAAAATTGTTAAAGATTTCTTATCTTAATTATTATATTCTAACACATGGTGGAACTTGGAATAGTCACACTTTTTGTCTTGCTTCTAGAGGTTCATAATAATTTTAGTTGTGAATGAAATGCAACGAAGGTTGCACTATTTAGTTGATCTAATATTTACTCTGTTTAATAATTCCATTTGCATTAGTACTTTGCAGTTTTTTTTTTTATTATGGATAAGATGAGAAATATACTTATGATTTCTTTTCATCTATTCACCTGTAGAAACATATACATGGCAGCGTGCTACAACATCAGGCACTCCACCATCTCCTCGAGATAGCCACACTTGTTCATCTTGGAAAAACAAAATTATTGTGATCGGTGGTGAAGATGAACAAGATTATTATCTGTCTGATGTTCATGTTCTAGATACTGGTATGTATCCTTTTATGTAACTGTTATACTTTTGGTACACTTATTGAATATTTGTGCAAGAAAGGGGGTATTTATCGGAGTATAATTTACTAGCATTTTCTGTAAATGCAGATACTCTTATCTGGAGCAAAATGTGTACCTCTAGCCAATCATTGCCACCTCGAGCTGGTCATTGTACAGTTTCTTTGGGCAACAGTTTGTTTGTTTTTGGGGGCTTTACAGAAGCTCAATGCCTATACAATGACCTGTATATGCTTGACATTGGTATGTCTAATACAGATGCTTGTTTATAAGTCTGATAAACACTTAAACAGGAGCTCAAATTTTTTCACTGTACTAGTTTGTAGTAAATATTTATTGTTTGTTCATGTGTTAAAGTTGTGCCCTTATTTTTCATTCCTGATTGGAAACAGAGACTTTTGTGTGGACGAAGGTGGAAACTACACCTAGTGGTCCTTCTGCTAGATTTTCTGTAGCTGGTGACTGTTTAGATCCACATATGGGGGGTGCTCTTGTGTTTTTGGGAGGTTGTAATAGAAATCTGGAGGCCCTGGATGATATGTATTACCTATACACAGGTTGAGCAAAGAGTAAATTTTTTCCTATTAAATATACTGAGGAACATTTTGATTATAGAATTTCTGCAAATTAAGAAGTTTGTGACAGAAATGTGTTTCTAATATATTTCTGGCTTTTTAGGTATTGCACAGGAAAGAGAACTCAGACCAGAGAAGTTATCCTTAAGGAAGCAATTGAAGCTGAAATGTCAAGAGCAAAATCTCAATCTTGTCCAAAACCCAGTTCTGTGTGGATATGGAGTGGATGCTGGCAGTAATCATCCTATGTCAATCTTAAACTATAGCCAACAAAGTGAGAACCTGCTTATATATGAACTTCCTGAGGAATATAACAAAATATTTTGTTTTTCCTTGAAGTGATATGTGTTTCCTGTCATTCTTTGTATTGGATTTTGGAAGTCCCTCCTGTGTATATCACAGCTTATATTACATGCTTTCTTGTAATGTATTTATTTGGTCTTTTGCCATATTTTTAGTTGATAATGATAAGGTAGTGAGGATTAGTGTTCTTAGCTGCACTCCTAAATAGAGTTAGTTTCTCTGACCAGTTTGTGTGTTTCTTCTGAGACATGCACACTAGTTGTGGCAAGTTGATATTTTGTAAAGTTTTGTAAGTTCTAAAAAAGGAAAATATTCTTTGGTTATGGGCCTTGATTAAAAGAATGAAAAATGGTGTTTGGGTATTCCATTCAAAGTGGGAATCTAAGTATCCAGCATCATGTTTACAGGTAAACTAAATATCCCAGTAAGGCAATCCCTGCCTCCTGGAAAGAGAATGTTTCATGCCAAAGTTACGGAAAAAATCTCAGCAGGATATACTATTGAAACTGTTATTGATGGAAAGCCTCTTCATGGAATTCTGTTTTCAAACAAGCCAAACATTCAAAGTCCAGTTGCTAATACTTCCAATAGGTATGTCCTTCTCTTTACAATTTTTCACCACCCGAATCTCCCTTTTGAAAAATTTGGTTTTAACATAGTGTTTGATTCTCAAAACAGGAAAAGGTCTGCTGGTGAAATTGAAAATGTTGATTTAAATGACATGCTTACACAATCAGACAATGTAACAACTTCTGCAGTGCTCAGGCAAGAGAAAATACAAAATCAACCGGAAGTACGGGGAGAGAGTTCAGAATTTCTTGAACGCCATAAAGAAGCAGATACTATTGTTGCGTCAAGTACCCGAACAACAGCTGCGGACTCCTTAAAGGTCAAGTATTTTTTTTTTTACTTCTGTTGAATAAAATTCTATGTGGGCCAGATTATTGGCTCTAAAATTTTATTTAGAGGCCCCAGGGAATAATTAAAAATTTAAAATTGACAGTATAGGTTTTGTTATTGGAAGGATGTTAACTATAAATGTGACCTTATACACAGTTATAGATTCTGTTTGCGAGGTGAACTTTATGAGAGTACGAGTTTTTTTAGTGGCTGAATAAAATTTTCATGTGTACAGTGCTTGTTTGCCATAGGTGTTTTACCTGTAGGCACTATGGCCATAGATTCATGGGACTTGCACATCCGTATGCATGCAAGAAAAGCTATGGATTGCCACTAAATATTAACATTTTCTGTTTCCTATGTGTTATGGATTGAATCCTTTTCTGTAACCTTAGCTGAGATATAGTTGGTCATGATCTAGTTTATTTAATACCTTGGTGGGATGTCTGTTCCAACACTAGTGTTTTTTCCTTTTCTACTGTATGTTAAATTTTGTTCAATTCTAGATAGTGATCTTCCAAGATAAACATTCTTAGATTTTCCACACAAGGGAGACCATTTCCTTGGCTCTAGTGGTGTATGTGAATGAAAAGTCACCTGCCAGTTAATGCGCATGAATCTAATAAAGATCATCCCTGGGAATGTAACGTGAGTCTTTGGTGAGGTTTCTTTCTTACCTGCACATCCATGAATATCCTGCAGGATTCTGTCAACCCAGAACCTGAAGCTGTTTCTTTGAATCTAAATGATGAGAAAAATGACTCATCAAAACCCTTAATTGAGAGCTTGAAAAACGATGGATCCAATGATGAGACAAGTTCCAAAGGTGAAATGCAAATTGGAGATGAAATAAATGTGCCAGTTTCCAATTGTGAAATTTCAGGACAAACGAGTGATGCACCAAACTCTAATGCTGATGTCCTGAAACCTGCAGCAGCTGAGAGTTCTGTTTCTCCACCAAATCAAGGTATGGAACTATTGAGAGAAGTTAGTGAAGATTCTTTGGCTTGACCTTTTTTGTCGTTAGCATGTTGGATAAAATAGCATCTCCTTTTCATTTCAGATACATTTTCATGCAAGTTTGAGTTAAAACTGAATTCACTTGTTAAGTTGTTACTCTGCCCCCCACCCACAAAAATGAAAGAAAAAAACCTCTGGAATTTTGTCTTTTGCATTTCTTTGAATGAAATGGCATTTCCTCTCACATATGGCAACATTTTCAAGTGAGTTTGAGTTAAACCTAAATGATTCGATTGGTAAGCTGCTGCTTCTCTCCTCCCACAACAAAAAAGAAAGAAAAAATGAACCTCTGTCCCAATATGCTTTTGGGATAAGAGATTTACTTTTATAAATGGATAGGGGGCTAATCATCATGGCATTTTTGCCTATTAACTACCTCTTATTAAAAGAAGTCATCATTTTTGCACTTGAAAGCAACATCAATGATTAACCTTTTTGTTTTATTTCAAATTTCTGTTTAAACGTAAAGGCAATCATGAAAGTATCAGAGATAATATATATTTGAGCATCAGATAGATGTCTGTGTAATGTTAAATGAACTCTTGTAATGCAGAAAACTTCAAAATCTGGAGTAAATTTTAGTTAAAAACACCCATCCATTTTTCTGAGAACATGTTACTGTCAGAGTATATGTACACAGTTGATTCCAATACAAGTTTTTAATCAAATAATCAGGACTCAATTTTTAATATATTAAATTCTAAGAAATTCTATTAAAAAAATTGTAAGAAATTTAGACAATTTGAAATCTACATGATGCTACTACTACTTATTTTAGGAGCACTTAACTTTGTTACTGATGGTAAGAAATCTCGATTACCTCAATGTTGCAGCACTGTGTTGTTTACTTGTATTGTTTTATAGTCTTGTTTACAGCATACCACATTTAAACACTTGCAATATATAAACTTACCTGACATGACATGGTTTTTGAATTAAGATTTTCAGACAATTAATAGTTATCACTTCATAATAGCAATTGAAAATTTGAAAATTATTGTATGACATATTGTGAGTTTGAGCACAGTTCTTGTTGTATGAATACAGGTGTGACAGATGATTGCACAACTCCAAGGACAGAAAGCCAAAGTGAACAAGAAAAATTAACATGAATTCTGGCATTTTACATTCCTTTTATGAAGGTTGCAGCAGATGCACATAACAGTTTAATAGAGAGAAACGTGCTAACTGGTGGGGATATACTGTTACCTACACAACATATATTGATCTTAAATTGTTCGGCAAGACAATTGTTACCTTAGGTATAGATAGTGTTACAAGTTTTTGTCTGTAACTCTTCATTCATTAGGAGAAAAATATTAAGAGGCTGACTATAGGTGCCAACTTGTAATATTTTTTTCTTGTTTTCATTTATCTTGTCTTGGTAGTTTTGAGGCGATTTTTTATTTTCATTTGGCAAGATGACTGTTTCAGAATTTGTTTTGCAAATCACCAATTCAGTTTTACTTTGACTCATGGTTGTAGCATGATTATGAAATGTATAGATTAATTTTAATTTTAAAAATTATTAAAAACATAAAAAAATATTTTTTTACTTAAAAAAATTATATTGACCGCATTTCATTTATTTTACTTTTGTGAAAAGCACGTCTCATTAAGACAAAACATATTTAGCAAAGTTATCTTTTTTATTTTGAACATTTTTTAGTTTTATTAAATTATAGGATTAAATATGCCTTTTCACCTTTAATCCGACATAAAATTAAAATTATTTTTTATCTTAAATTTTAACAAGTTTGGTCCTCAAAATTTAAAAATTTAATATTTTTGTTATGTACGACATTTCATACTTGCATTGAAGCAATTTAATTGCAAATGTTATGAATCAAAATGTTCAAATCTACAAATATATCTAACCTTAAATTGTATTACCCATTGATTTGAGCAACTCCATGGTTTTAAAATTTTTATTAATCCCAACGATTATAACTCCGTTAACACCAAAAACATTTCGTACTACTCTTCTAATCATTCTTCGTCACTTTGAACCCTTAGTAATTTCTTTTAGTTTTACAAAGGTGCTTCTCAACAATTGTTAAAATCCCATTAAAATATTTTTTTTCACTTTTTTTCTAAAATATATTTTTATGTACATAATGTACTTTTGTCATTAATACAATCATTGAAAACTGATAAGTCTTACTAAAAAAGAAAACAATGAAAAGAAAAACTTGCCAGTTTTATGACTACATTCATCGCATAACGAACTCTACAAGTTAATGTATGTATGATAATATTATTATATTCACAAATAATAATTAAGATTGGTTCATATATAAAAGAATGAAAATCATAACAAACTTTTAAGTAAAATCTATCATCAGAATCATTTACTATTTTTTCATTTATTTGTTTTTTTTTTCAATCCAAACAACTTAACTTTATACTTCACTCTTTTTTTTTCACTATTCCATCAATTCACCTAACAATTTGTTAGTGAAGATACGGTGCATGCGTATTTTTCATGTTTATGTTTGGTAAGTTTTCATGCCCAATTTAATTTATTAAATGTACTTGAATAAGAAAGGTGTCAAAACCAACCATGCAATGTGTATTCAAGACAATTATTATATCATAATTATAATAAAAATTGTTTACAAATATATTGTGTTATTTAAACAAAAATTGAAAACAAATGTGATTGTGACTACATCACTTATATAACAAAATCACTCATGACTAATACTTTTACAATCACTTCAATATATTTGAGTGCATACAAAGATAGTGTACAACTAGATAGTATATGAACCACAATTACCTATAGTCTATTGTACTATATGACTTTACATTCGAAACATATGTACATTGAAAATGTCGACTTTGTATTTTATTAGAAGTCAAGGAATCATTTGTTCATATCCAAATTGTCACAAGACACACTTTGACAAATGTTAATGAATGCACATCTTTAGACAAATGTACTAAGATAATACAAAGATAGATTTGAAGAGTTGAGTCTATCCATGTTCTTCATAATGATTCGAGCATGAGTTGAACCATCTAACCACACCCATACAACACCAACAATGTATGTATGTTGTCTAATCACATATCTTACTACTCGCAAGTGAAACTCCTCATAAGTTAGATTCACATTCCTTCTTCCCATTCTTGGAAAGTGTTTATATGTTCATGCTTATTGCAATTTAAACACATTATTAAAATGTATTCATGTCAATAACACTAACTTTTCCAAATAATATATACAATTTTTTGTAAGAGCATAACTAATGTCACACTTTTATAAAAAAAGTGTGCATCCCACGATATGTAATAAGTAAGCCTTTGTTGCACACTTCCATCTTTGGTGGGTGCAACAATCCTCATATACCTCCTTAAGCGAGTTAGTCTCACATGGAAAACACGATAATGTCTCATATCTATCATAACATCATTCAAGTCTAACCCTAGCAACTTCATCAACAAAATTGAAGCTGTAATGAAATTTAACATCACAAATGAACAAAAACTTCTATTGAGCATAATCTAATGTAATGGTCATTTCATCACCTTTCCACAAAGACAGAAAACAAACCCTTATTTGCAATCTCACAACTAATGTTGCTTAATGACAATAATAAAGAATTAAGCATTGCACCCTAAATTTGTTAACGAGCCCTCCAAGCTTATTTGACTTGCAATGATGAGAAATCGATTTCAGTTTTTCTTGATCCTTAAAATAATAATCTTGTTTGACATCATAAACAATATTCACCATCACCGAATATAATACTTAACTACAATTTTTGTTTCTTACCCTACCATTCCATAGTTTAATCACTATATGATTTGGAAAACTGATTAATAATGAACAATGTGTATGTTCTTTAAGGAATTCTTCTTATACATAAAAAATTATTGTATTTATTAAATCACCATCGTTTTCACCTAATTTTATTTAGAAAACTCTTCTACATAATGACTCCAAAAGTATCTACTTACCATTTGAGATGAACCTCCTCTTATGTTAATTATCAATATACATATTATAAAACCCTGATATGTATAACATAAATTTAATTTAGAATTAAAATAAACACATCTTTTTCATATGCTCCACATGAAACCTGAAAAAAAAAAAATAACCTTCAAATTTCAATATATTTATGATAGAAAAACAAAATAAGTGGAGAAAAAAATCATAAAATATTTGACATTTAACCGAACTAAAATAATAAAAATAAAATTATTTCTTTTTATTTATTTGAGGGAAAGATAAAGTTGAAAATATAAAAGTTTATTGTCGAGCTAAATTAATATTAACATTTTAATTTTCTAATACTATTTGAAATGTGTATTTAATTATCTTTTATATTTTTAACGTTTCTATTATTTTGAAAATATTAAAACAGTCTAATGAAAATTATTTTAACAATTTTTCTTAAATAATACAAAAACTAAAGATAACGAATAATAAAAAAAAATATGTTTTTATATTAGTTAGTAAAGGAAATACTTATCTAATTGAACCCTTAACCTTAAGAGTTAAAATTTTTATGTAAAAATATATAAAACAAATAAAAATAGTAAAAAGAGTAAAAGTAATAAATATAGACCTAACATCTATTTTATTTGTTGAAATTGATAATACACAAAAAAAATTTCTAATAAAAAATAAGAAAAAAAGTAATATGTGTGAATTTTATAAATATAAAATAAATTAAACAATTAGAAAAAGAAAAAATAAAACAATATATATATTAATATTAGATTATTTAATTAATTATAAATATTTTAATAATTTAAATAAAACAAGATAATAATAAAATATATATTGACAGATTAAAACGAGACTAGATAAATATTTTTTAAATATCCGTTTTTATATTTAATTAAAAAAATCGAATATTACTTATATTTTATACTGATAATATTATTCAATTAATAAGAAAATGTTTCATCAAATAGAAGAGTTTGAAGAATACCGACCTCATTTAAACTCTCTTTAGGAGAGTCTACTATTTCTTTTTCTAAAAAAAAAAAAAGTGTTTTTCTCGTAGTAACGGTTCTGGGATGCGTTCGGAGCAATTGTTTTTTCAGACATTAATCTATTGTCACTTCCTAATTTCTTCTCCTTCCTTCTTCTCACTAATCACGCACAATAACAATTCCGCGAATCCAAATGTACTTCTTTCCATCCCCTATGCTCTCATAGCTTCCTAGCTAGGGTTTATTTCCCACTCCTCACTCACTCCCAGCAAAACCCTACCCTAGCGATTCCCATTACCCACCAGCTATCATTCCTCTTTGCTCAAACTGTGGCTTCTCTGAAATCGACAGACCAAACGGTGCGTCTTGCTCGCGGCAATTTCCACGATTCAAATATGAAGAGTAAGGGGAGCTGGTTTATCGTGTTTGTAGGAAAATGTTACGAAATAATATGTGACCTTTTCTTGAATGCATTATATTTCTTAATTCTAACCATATATATCCCACTTGCTGAGTTAGTTAATAATACTCTGTTGCTTCTGGTTGTTTTGCTTGCTTTGCTCCTTAGTTGTTTCATTCACTTTATCGTTGCACATGTTTTTCAGGGTATCCGATATTGGAAGCAGTGAAGATTGTGATTTTGGAGTTTCTTTGTTGCTAGTTTATGTTAAATAGAAAGTTTGCATTCGAATTATGTATAGTCAAGTGAATCGTGGTTCTCATATCGGGCAGAGTCCCGTCCCTCCGGTGCTGCCGCCTCCACCACCACCGCCTCAGTATCAGCAGGCTCCGCCGCATTTCCATCAGTTCCCACCCCCTAACGTTGGTGGTCCTCCTCCTCCACCGCCTAACGTTGGTGGTCTACCACCACCACCACCACCCCCTCATCATGTTTATTTAAATGGACCTCCCCCTCCTCCTCCTCCACCGCGTCCTAATTCTTCTTCCCCAATTCCCATGAACCTTCCCGTTCAAGGTTCACATAATGTGATGCCAAATGCTGGACAATCCTACCCTATCCCTTCTCAATTACACCAGGGGAACACCGTGACACCGCAAACATCTTGGGCTCCAGGACCACCGCCTAGAGTATTGCCACCTCCACCACCACCTCCACCTCATCCTCCCTCGGCTTCCCAAGGTCAAATTTTGTATAACCCTTCTTTCCATGGTCCACCTCTGCATCCCGGTGATGTTCAGAATCTGCATAATGCTCCTCCACCACCACCCCATTCAACAGGTTATTTCCATTCAGCTGTTGGGAATTACCGAGTGCCTCCTGGTATTCCCCCACCGTTGCCATTGTCTCCACCACCTGCTCTTCCCGCTCCACCGCCTCCTCCTCTTAATGCTCCGGTAACCTCCTCCTCCTCCTCAAATGTTGCAGATGACCCTAAATCTGTGAAGACTGTGGATTTGGTTGATGGAGTTGTAGCTTTTCTTCCATCTGGTATTGCACCTGTACATGGTTCTGATTCTAAACGGGACGGTCCAAATTGTAGAGAGGTTGCTGATGCTGAAAAAGATGAGGATCTTCCCCCACCTAAGCCAACGGAAGAAAATACTGTACTGAAGATAGAAGCTTTGTGTCAGCTTATTGCTGAGAAGGGAGCTGATTTTGAAGATAAGATTCGTCGAGATGAATTCCAAAATCCTGAATATGTATTTTTGTTTGGCGGAGACCCAGGAACTGAGGCTGCAATTTCTAACACTTATTTCCTGTGGATGAAGAAGAAATATAATTTAGATACTGGATGGCATGAAAAGAAAAGGCAACCAGAGAGATTGTACTCTTCAGGTGAGCAGTATAACCTGCATGTTGCAACTGGGAGTGCTGATTCTGACATGGAAATGGAAGGTTAGTTTTCTTATGATCCTGAAATTGAAAACTAATATTTAACACTTTTTATGTTTGAGGTATTAAATTATGACATCTCCTGATTCTAGTCCAGCATTGGTTTGGGTATGCTGTTACGTATTCTTAACATGAAAGTCCTTGTAGTTTGTATTGATTTTGTTATAATTATAGAAATAAGGAACTAATCCTATGTAATAAAAAAAAATCTAGATTGTATATGTATTTTAGAAGTGATTTTATTTATTAGCCTAACGCATAAACAAATATCTGTTGAAACTACTAGGACACTTCTTCTCAGTCATCTTCCTCACCATTTTTGGGGGTCCTTATGACATGTTCTGTCATTAACCGAATGTCATCTGTCTTTAATGACAGGGTACCCTGTATGTAGTCTTTCTCCACATGTTCTTGGCACCATATGTTTCGTACATAACCTCACACTTGATTGTGATAGACTTTCTCCTCTGTCATTCAAATATGTCTTTGTGGGATATCATTGCCTTCAAAAAGGGTATCGATATTTCCCTCCCAGTATTTATAGGTATTTTGTGTCTACTATTGCCTCTTTCTTTGAGTCTGTTCTACATTATCCTATTGTTCGTTCCAATGATGACATTTGTGGTCACTTTCCGACTGCTATCATTCTTCCTTCATCACCATTAGATGACTGTTAAAACATGGGATGCTTTTCCAACACCTATTTAGGAATATCATCGCCTATTGAAATTCCAGTACGATATCCCTCTTCGATGAGTAAAGATACAATGGAGGCCAAGCTTGATCCCTCCTCGATACCATCTACCGCATTGGACTCAGTGTTATAATCAATCTGTTATGGTAGTGCCATGGCGGAAATTGGTTGTAGATTTATAGCCTGTGGCCACAACATGGTGGTGATTGTGGGTTTCTCATGGCGGCCGCTTTTTGCATCATGAAATGCGAAGATAGAATGGAGATGGCCAAAAAGGCGGCAGGCATGCAACTTCTATCTGAAAACGAAGGAGGTAGATGTGCAGCAGTGCATGAGAGAAACCCTAATGTGTAGCAACGGATGAGTATTAGTATTATCTGTTTGTCTATAGTATTGTAATGATCTGTAATTTGTTTTAATTATTTTTCAGGTGTCTTTTTTTCTTTCATTTTCTAGATTAGTTACAATTATAGGATGATTAGTTACAATTATAGGTTGAATAGTTACAGTTTATTTTATCTTCTGCACAAAACTGAGATGATTGAGGCTCATCCTGTACCTGTGGCATCTACCTGCAAACTCTCCAAGATTGATTCTACTTCTTTTTCTGATCCTTCTCTATCATTCTGTTGTTGGATCACTTCAGTATGCCACTATCACTAGGCCTGACATAAGCTACGTTGTCAGCAAAGTTTGTCACTCTTTTTGTGCAGCCTCTTCCTCCACTCCTTTCTCCATCACCTCCATGTGTGATGCTGATTGGGCATCTAATGTTGATGACCAGAAGTCTACATCTGGTTCTACTAGTTTCCATGGTCCCAACCTGATTTTTTGGTGGTCTCACAAACAGCGAATCATTGCTCGTTCCAGCACTGAAGCTGAGTACTGTATCATGGCCATGAATTTGTTGAATTTTTCTAGATACAGGCTCTTTTGATAGAGTTCCATATCCCCTTTTCCATGGTCATCCTATGTGACAACCAAAGTGGTGTGGCTATCGCTCATAATCCTGTTTTTCACTCCAAGACCAAACATATGAAGATTGATGTCTTCTCTGTTTTTGATCAAGTGTTGTCCAAGCAGTTACAGGTTTCTCACATCCCAAGTGTTGACCAATGGGCTGATGTTCTTAACAAACTTTTTGTCCAACTATTGTTTTCATTTTCTTAGAAGCAAACTCAATGTGCAAGTTCTTTCAAATCCCTCACCTTGAATTTGAGGGGGGATATTAGTGATATTTTTTTGTCTATAGTATTGTAACTATCTGCAGTTTGTTTCAGGTGTCTTTGTTTATTTTATTTCTTAGATTAGTTACAATTATAGGAAGTTACATTGGTTTGTAACTGCTGCAAACCTCTCTCAACTGCTATGCAACTTCTTCTCTTCTTTTATATGTTTTGCTACAGAACAGAATTGTAATTTATCTTTTAGAGACTGTTAATACAGCCTGCACCACCTTTCCAGTCCGTGAGAGGAACCTATTATTCTCTTTGTTTTCTCTTAATCTTTTGTCGGGTTATCAAGGCCCAATAAAAAAACATTACAGTTTAACCTACCCTACCTACAATACAATAGCCTCTTATTCTTTGTTTTTCAATCCCTGCATTTCTGTTGATGCTTCTGTTTGCCACTAGTCGTTGTTGAGATCTCACTACTGCCACCACTGACATTATTATAATTATATTTGTATGTTTTTTTTTTTTCGAATTATCTATATGCATATTGTTAAGAAGTGAACTTTAAGTGTAACTCAATCCTACAGAATTGGTTTGTAAGGTGAAGTTTGCACACACATATATACTCTAAATTGACTTTATTTCTAGTCGATGTGAGACTTCCAACTCACTTCTCTCAAGCCGAGGTTTATACATCTCATGCATGGGACTAGACACTAATGGGTGGTCCTACAACGACTTGATATTAGATGGAACAATATGTCCAACAAACAACAAATTTCGTTAGGATAGACTCGGAACCTGGCTCTGATATCATGTTAATACGTGGACTTTATGCCCAACTCAACCCTACAAAGCCAACTTGTAAGGTGAGGTTTCACATTGATTAGAGATAAGACCAATTTAGAGTATATAAGTGGGTGCAAACCTTATCTTACAAGCTGGTTTTGTGGGGTTGAGTTAGACTTAAAGTTCACTTCTTAACAGGAGGGACCAAACCTTGTCTCCCAATACCTTTTTGGATTACTTTGTAATTTTTATTTGATAAATAGTTCAAACTATGACACAAATAAAAATTCATTTTAGATGAGCCTGATCTGGTTTGTTTTATTTCTCTATGGATGGGTTAAGATGATATCACACTTTCTGACAAGGACCAAGGTTCAAACTTTGCAACTGAAGCCCTAAATCGAGATGATGAAGTGCATAGAGTGAATCAGAATCTAGCGCAGGTGCAGAAATTATCAGAGAATGACCCTGACAGGGTCATCTCATCCTGCAGTCCATCATACTTTGGATCCATGGGAGTCAGCAAACAGAATGAAGGTTTCATTTCAGAAAAGCCTTTTTTCTCTATGTTTAATTACTTTTAGATACTTTTTAATCAAGTTTTTATTTAACATGTTTTTCTTTATTCAATCAAGTCAGTAATGCTGGTGATAGACATATGTCAAAAGTTTTGGGACACAGAATTTAATTTAGTACTTAAATTTAATCAAAAGTTTCTATTACACTGAAAGTTTAAGTACTTAAATTTGGTATTAATTTAGTGTTTTGATATCTTTCTCGCTTTAAACACTGAATTTAACTTGACAGTTTGAGGATTGACATAAGAAACTGTAAAAAAGACTTGTAGAAATTACACAGAAGTCCTGTCAATTGATGGACTGTGGTAACTCAACATTCTCGTTTTTTCAGGCATAAAAGAGTAAATACAAGAATTGAATTAATTAGTAGAACTCCAATATTTTGTCTGATACACAACTCCCATAAGTTCCGATGATTATTAATTATTTTTACTATTTCCAACAGATTCATGCAGTGCACTGAATTTAGTAATTATTTGCAGAACAGAATTTCATTTAATATCCATGTAGTTTTTTTTTTGTCAACTTGTTTCATTTCATTAAATATTTTTCCGTAAGTTAGAGGTGAATAACTAACTATATTTCTCCTTATATAATTGAAGGGAGGATAGGTTTGCCAACTCATTGTTCATGATCACTATATGTGGTTTATTTGCTCCTTTTTCACTGAATTAAAAAATGATTACTTTGATCTCATTTTTTATGTAGCCGGTCAGAATTCAGAAGTGGTAGAATATTAATAGAGTTGACTTTGGTATTAGATGTCAAATTCATTCTATGGCTAACTCTAATATATTGCTTTATTAAAACAAAATATTGTTTGTGTTAATAAAGCTCTTTACTAAATACAGGACCCGAGATTTTATCTGATCTGGAGCACAGGAAATCTGTAAGACCAGTTACCAAGGTTCCAAGTCTTGAGAATGACTCCACTGAAGTGGCTGAGTTATCCTTGGGCAAGGCTTTGGAGGAAGCTGCAACTTGTGTTGATGATGATTTTGTTTGTACTGTTCCTTCTGATCACAATAAAACCGCTACTACTAATAGGGATTATGGGACACTCCTAGCGAGTGGCAGCCCTATAAGACTTCTTCAAGATTATGCTTCTGATGACACTTCAGCTAATGGGGATGAAAGCAATGCTGCAGATGCTAACTTTTTCACATTCTCAGAAGGTGTTGATACTGGTGTTTCAGCAGTCCATAAAGATTCTGGGAGTCATATGGAGATTGGTATTGGATCTAAGAGTCCCGCCAGTACTCAAAAGGGGTTTGGGTCACTCTCCAGAACATCACAGGGTGGTTTAGAAATATCTACACATTTATTACAAGAGTCTAAGAAAACTCGCAACCGAAAAAAATCTGTCTCACGTTGGAGTAGTGATGGACGTGTTGACCATAACCTTGAAAATCAGATGTCTGTTAATTTTGCTTCATCGGTGGAAGCTTCCAAGGGCAAAGATAGATTAGAGGATACTGCCATTAACAGTGGTAGTAGAAGTGGTAATGCTGAAAAGGAAGATGAGGGGAAAACCTCAAAATTTGAACTAAATGTTATGAAAGTAGATGAATTCGGAAGACAACTAAGAGAAGGTCTTTCAGATAGTGATTCTGATGATTCATTCCATCACCGGACACGGAGGCTTAATAAAAGAGATAGAAGAAGCTGGAGCCGCAGCCAGTCTCCTCCAGACAGGAGGAGTAGGAGGAATAGGAGGAGTCCTCGGAGGAGAAGAGATAAAAGAAATAGGTCTCGCAGGTACATACTGCTGTTGTGCATTGTAGAATGTCCTTAATTACCTGCTGTTAATGTGTATCTTATGCCCAAACAATTTGTATTACAATGTACAAGTCTTCCTTTCCTAGGTTATCTGTTCTATGGATTAAACATAAAATCTCTCATGCTAATAGAATCAATTGTCTTTCTTTGCATTTCAAATCTTGATTCTTGATATCTTTAACAATAGCTTTGATGCAATTAATGGAAAATAATAGAATATATATACACGCAGATAGAATATTATAGCATGTGATTGTAATATGAGATTTATGTCTAACCTGAATTCTCATTTGATTCCGCTAGAGTTTAATTCTCTTTTGATTCCGTGAGAGTCACTTGATAGTGATTCTTCTTGACAGCTTTCTATCTTTGTATAGAATACTACTATATATAATTTTTCAAATTTTGTTGGTTACAGCTGGTCACCCCAGCACCGAAGAAGCAGTAGGTCACCGATCTCAAGACGGTCAGGTGACTTTCGTGGTGAGAATGTTAAAAGGGACAAGGATAAGTGCTTTGACTTTCTTCGAGGAAAGTGCTATCGGGGAGCATCTTGCAGGTACATTCACCATGAATCTGACATGAATGCTACTTCAAGGCGCTATAAGAATAAACATTATCTTGAAGTCAGTTATTGTGGAAAAGAATCAAAGACTAATGGAGACATGACGAATATTTCTTCTAAAGTGTTTGATAATGAGCATGATGGAGTTAGAAGTCAGGATGATGATCTTAGCCTGAATGTGACTAGCCAGGAAGTAGTGCAGAAAAAAGAAGATTCAGGGAGGAATGTTGTTGCATCAACTATCATTCATCTTGATGGCCAATCAGTTAATAGCAATCTAGGTAAATCTAAATCTATCAGAGAGGTTGCTCCTGAAATGCAGGAAACCATTGATGTGAGGGAGGATCCAAGGAATTCAATCCATGGGAATGATAGTTCGGAAGCAGGTGATTCTCAACAGCAACACATAGTTGAAGGCTTTCACCCTGATGCTTTAGGCCATGATAATACTTCTAAATCATCTGGTACATATAAAGATGTCATTCCCTCAGGAGATGGTCTTTTTGCTCAGAAAATGCAACTCAGTGTTTCTGCTGCTGGAATTCAGGAACAATCGTGTTATCCATCTCAGCATGTAAATGCATCCTATGTGACTGATGCATCACCTGATAAAAGATCAACTGTTTCTACTAGTGTTACTGAAGTTCCTGACAGTGTCACATCAGAGCAGGCTTCAAAAGAGTTACCTCCACAGTGTGACTCTTCAGTGGAATTTCCACGTCATAATTACCAGGTGTCTGCACCTGTTGTTTCACATTCCCCTGGCGAAAATCCTGCGCACATGCCACAAATTTCAAGGCAGTATAATGTGATGCATCAAAGGGCATTCTTTCCTTTCCAATCCACTGCCAGAGAAAAGTTTGAACCTTACCCAGCTCCTTTACACATGCAGAATGCTCACTTCAATGTACCACCTAATAGCTCTTGGACATCATTGCCATTGCCACCACCACTGCCACCACTGCCACCGCCACCATCACTGCCACCGCCTCCATCAACAATGGTGTATGATCCCAATGTAAACTCAGGAGTTGTAAAATCATATATTTCTTCTGAATTTATTCAGAGTCAAATGCATTCAAGAACTGACTTTGTTTCCCAGACTTCCATGAAGCCTTTACCGAGTTGCTCTGAGAATTCTGATTTTCATGATAAAGCATACCCTCCTATGCAGGACCATTCACGGACTTTTATGCTTACTGAACCTTTCTCTCCAAAGCAACTTCCTCAAGGGAACCCAGCTAGTCAATTACTTTCAGGATCTAGTCTCAACGGAGATGAATTTCATAATCAACTTCCATTGCAGGATTCAAAATTTTCCAGTGCCACATCATTTGGCAGCTTGCAGCCTCAACAAAATCAATTTTCCTGGAAATCGGATGTGAACAGACTACAACCTTCTCTGGGTGGCAAGTTACCTGCCGAAGGACATTTTATGACATCCTCACACATTGATTCATCATCACAAAAACAACAATCAATGTACAATTTTCAGTGTTCTGTATCCGAGGCTAATTTGGGTGTGCCTGGGGAGACTGCTACTGTTTCCAGATATCCACCTGATTTTCTGGATAGCAGTCATTCAACTTCTCTTCCACCATTTAGTGGATCAAGAATATCTGCTCACTATAATCCTTATGCATCAACCTTTGAGAAACCACTAAGTTCCAAATTTAGTTCAAGTATTTTTAGACAGGAAAGTGAAATAGTCCATGGTAACAATTATGCTTCTTCTAGATTGAACCATACTACGGTAAATGGGGAGGGTGATGGTGGGGTTGGATCAAGACATTCGGCATCTGCACCAAAATCGGGTAGAGCTCTTGGTCAGATTTTGCCTAGGTCTGGTGGTGACCAATATGATCCACTTTTTGACAGCATTGAACCATCATCTTCTTTGAGAAAAACTGATTTTGATCAGAAGCAGGAAGTCACAGGTGAATCCAATGTCAGCCTAAGGCCCAAAAGTTCTTACATTTCTTTGGATGTGGATGAGAAAAACAAGGAGGAGGAGGTTGGGGCTGTTGCCTCTACCACTTCTCAAAATAATGATGAGTACAGTGAGACAGCGGATGCAGAAGTTGGTGCTATTGAAAATGAGAGCGTAAGTGATGATGTGGATGTTGCAAAAGTGACTACAAAGGAGGTTGATATTAATCGGGTCAAGTCTCCTGGAAAAAGAAAAAAGAGTAAGGATTCCAGATCAATGAAATTGTTCAAAGTTTCCATTGCGAACTTTGTAAAGGAGGTTTTGAAACCATCATGGCGACAAGGTAATATGAGTAAGGTTGCTTTTAAAACCATTGTGAAAAAGACCGTGGATAAAGTGTCAGGAGCCATGAAAGGCCACCGTGTACCTAAGTCCCAAGCGAAGATAAGTCAATATATTGATTCATCGCAGCGAAAGTTGACTAAACTTGTGATGGTAATTAATTGATTTTCTCCATCACTTATTTTTATTTTTTTCCCTTATCAGAGCCAAGTAGATAGCTGCTATGGGTATGGTTTTGTGTTTTTGCATCCCTTCGTGAATCTATACTGAGAATTAACAGAGGTCTACATTTTATAAACAAATATGTTCACTGATAAAATGACAAGAGGCTTGATGCACAGACTACCCTGTTTGTCTTGGAATATTATTGTATTTAAATGAAAAGAAAAAATTCTTTGTAACACGTTTGAAAGGATCAGCACTGTTATTTTAACTGCATTTTAGATGTTTCCTTCAGTGGTTTTAATTGAAAAGTTGCTTCTATGCTGAAATGTGACTGATTACATAGATCCACAATAAGACAGATTTTAGTGATCTACTGAACTTCACCTGTGGTCTAACTTCCAAAGATTTTTATATGCAAGAAGAACTACCATTTTCTTTAATTTTAAAAAAAGAAATTGGAGATGGGAAGCATTATATTTGAATTGCTTTACAAAAAAATTTTAGCCACGGGTCAAATTTTAGACAGATTTTAGTGATCTACTGAACTTCACCTGTGGTCTAACTTCCAAAGATTTTTATATGCAAGAAGAACTACCATTTTCTTTCATTTTAAAAAAAGAAATTGGAGATGGGAAGCATTATATTTGAATTGCTTTACAAAAAAATTTTAGCCACGGGTCAAATTTTAGACAGATTTTAGTGATCTACTGAACTTCACCTGTGGTCTAACTTCCAAAGATTTTTATATGCAAGAAGAACTACCATTTTCTTTTATTTTAAAAAAATAAATTGGAGATGGGAAGCATTATATTTGAATTGCTTTACAAAAAAATTTTAGCCACGGGTCAAACTGGGATAGTTGATTTGATTATAACAATATGCCTAAGTGGTAATATTCAAATTGCCTTTAGTGATGTTCTATTCCCTACATTTTCGGCAGGGTTATGTTGACAAGTATGTGAAGGTATGAAAGTGAACTATGCCAATGTTTCTCCAACATTCAAAGTCAATGGGCATTTCAACAGGAGGGCATGGCATCTCAACAGGGAACATCGGTACTTCCCTGGAGTTGTCTACTCTCAATATTAAAGGCGCACTGGATTGGTGTGAAAATGGTTGGTCAACATTCCAGTTCCTGAAGAATTTTTGGTTGCCCCCTATATGTATGTATTGTATTTCTCCTTGTTACTCTTGTGATTTGCTTTTTATGTTATAGATTCAACTCCGTGTTATTTTGAAGTGTTATGATGAATATCACGAAGTTGGAATTAGTTTACTCTTGTAGCTTTTTTTAAGCTAATAGCTAGAAGGAATTGCATGTAAAAATACTATAAGAAAACTGTAAATTTGTGTTGGTGCCCAATTGTTTCTTTTTAACGTTCCAAACCATCTTGTGGTTTGGCAGACACTAAGTTTTTCCTTTTATTGGTGACCTCATCAAATATCTTCCCCAAACAGAACCATGGAAATAGAAGCAGCTTTTCTTACAGAGACGCTGTTAATCAAATTTGTTTTTAATCGCGGAGAATTTGGGATGCTTTATTACATTCTGGTTAATTATAATGCAAAATGACAATGGTCTCTTCATTTATCACAGAAACTGGCATTCAATTGGAGGGGGAGTTGAACTAAGTTCTCCCCTGGTCAGAAAGCCAGGCCTAGAGTTTACAGGTCTCTTCATTTAGCTTGTCACTTAAGTGCCAACATCACTGGTCTTTGCTGTAAATAGGGCACTAGAGTTTAGCTTGCTTGTGAAAATTTCTCTAACGGAAATATTTCTTGTAAACCTTTTTTCTTGACATAATTTTTTCATCTCTTCGTGGAAGATGATATATTGGTTTGAAATTTTTATTGTTTCCAATGGTAGATGAATCCAGATTCAAATTGTTAATTTTTCCTTGATTTGATTCTTTATGATTAGTAAAATTGATAATGAAAACAGATCCTCCCTCCTAAATATGTTCCACTAGACATAGCAAATCATCGTCAGAGGCGATTGCCTGAGGACAATGTTCCAGTTTTCCCCTTTATTTTCTTCTTTCTCTTCTTTCCCTCCCTCACTAGATTTGTTCTACTGGCCACACTGTCAGTTGTCAGAGGTGATACTAGGTGTTGATGCTCTGTTTTTTTGTCAATTTATTTTTATATTAAGTTGTTAAGAAATATGTTTAAAATAAACTTACAAAACAAGCAAAAGTGAAATTCAACTTAGCTGATCAAAGTATGTTCACGACGCAACATGTTACTAGTGATGACATTCTCCTGTGCAAGATGGTACTAGCACCAGCAGGTGCCATTGAATGTCTATATATAATCGAAAAAGGATGGGTGCTATTTGATTATAGTGGCCCCGAATGAGACTTAAGCATATGTCTATATATAATAGATAAGGACGGATTTGTAACAATAATAATAAAAAAAAAACAAGAATAAGATTGAAAGAAAGCACTTTTATTCATTTTCAAATCATTACAATTGTCTTGATTCCAAATCAAGGAAGAGCTTTTGTATCACATTTCCTTTTTCTCAAACAAAAAATTAATCTGTTTCAGATAGTGGGTGAATCTCTGTCTTGGTAAACACATTTTGGGATTACCCTTTGAGACTATCTTCTCGATTTTGACCTTCACAACTTCAACAATGTCTCTCATGAAGTGTAGTAATGTTTGTGTTTGGTCCTCCTGTAAATTCTGATGATCAACAAAATGGACAACACTTTGGCTATCGAAAAGTATGGTCACACATTCCTACACAATACGGAACTAAGCTATTATCCCCCTTCAACCATAGTGTCTCTTTTACCCCATTTATGAGTGTGATATGCTCAGCTTGGATAGTAGATAACCACCATTGATTGCAAAGTTGGCTACATTTTAGTATCAATATTTCTTGTATAGTTTGTGTCTACAAACCCTTTTAGCATCTCGCTACGAGTGGATTGTCTATACACTAGATTAGATGATACAATTCCTCTCGCATACCTCAACACCCATTTCAAAGTCTTTCAATGAGTACGTCCATGATTTATCATGAACTTACTAACCACACTCACATCAAGTGTGAGATCCGATTTACTAT